TATATATATATATATATATATATATATACGAATATGCAACTACAAAATATGCATTTTCTGCATCTCCCAGGAAATGTGCAAAACTGTAGCAGGGTCAGGGCCCCATATTGATTAGGCCCACATGGATCACAAAACCTTTACCGGCTCAAGTATCTTCTAATTTATGCAGAATTTGCAACACTTTGTAAATGACTAACGTGCGTGTTGATGGCTCATTGGTCGTTCAACTCAAAACGCTGCATTTATATGGTGTCGCTCACTCGTTACCCAAGGGCTGTGACTAACAAATACCAACATTATTGGCCCCTACTGCACTTTTTCTCTACTTTTTGCATTTTCCTTCTACTTCTTTCATATTATTAGCGTGTTCGATCTATATGAAATCCGTGATGATGCCCTGCCGCTGGAGCTGCAGTACCGATGATCGTGCAGGTTCTGATTCGCCTGCTACGGCCGGGAAATCCACAATCCTTACCCATGCCCCTTCGTATGCTACTAGGTCTCCCTGCTTTTGGCTTCATTCTAACCTTCATTCTTGCCGAAGCCGTGTCTCACTCATCAAGCCTACCAGTTAGGAGGTGTAGCATGCAGTTAGTGGGGAGCCCACATCTTTTTGCTTTCCTCTTCCAAGGCATGCAACCTCTATCGGGGCGTCTGGGGGCTGTGAGTTCTCCATGCTCGTCTGTACAATCGTACTACACACCTAGTTATTTCCGAAGTTCCCCGCTTGAGTGGCCAGTAAACGAAGGAACAACACACGACCGCCTTTGTACTGGACAGGCTCCAAGGACAATTCTAGGCGCATCCCTTTCATCAGGGACGGGACATGTTGAGGCTTTGCAGAAACGATGCCCGTCTCCGTTCACCCGCATCTCCACTGGGAGTGGGATGTCTACCCATCGGTTGCTGCGTACCCGCCGCCGGAACATCCGCTTCCTTTGTTCCAGCCGTAAAAACAGAATGCGCGGGTTGCTGCCACCAGCAAAAGCGACACTAGAAGAGGAAGGGGAAAAGTATAACAGTGCAGAGGAGGCATTACTGCTTCGCTCAATGCAGCTGAAAGATCCCCTTGTGGATGAGGTGCCCGTGAGGCGGTGGCGGACACAATGGTACGACCTCACTTGTTTCTTGTTTATTTTCATGCACAGACGCTCTTGGCTTCGTTATACAGGGACTTGCGCTTGTCTCCCTCTGTCACGCCTACAGTGGTCTGATTTTACCCAGCTGTTGCTCTACTCCTCAAATCAGGTTCCCTTCCTTCGCCAGGCGGTCGCTGGTCCCCCTGATGCAAGCAGCCTCAAGATGCGATGCCATTGTTGAGGTCAGAGATGCTCGATTGCCGCTGCTATCAAGATGCAACTTGCGCGTCCTGCAACATCCAAAGCCGAGGGTTGTTATCCTAACACATGCGGACCAAGTGGGTGCTTGCTGTCTTGTAATAGCGTTTCTTCCATCTCATTCAGTGTGTAGCAGTTGGTATCATAATACGTCACTGCCACGCAAGCTGTCTGCTCCGATATTAAAATGTTTTCCCCTTGATGGTTTGTTCGTTGGTAAGTATTTGGGCAGGCAGACTGCCCGCTGTCACTACGTGGGAACCACCGTGAGAATCGCTTCATGTAAATGCACCTACACACAGCGACTTGGACTCATGAAGAGGTGTTGAGCGTTTTGTGCACTTTTGAGCTGTCTACCTGTGCAGGCTAGCCCACTGGCGACTCGTTATTGGCAGAGGTACTTCCGTCGTGAGAGTCGAGAGGCGGCCGCATTGGTGCTTCACGCAGAACTTACAAAAGTTCGTAAACAAGTACACACTCCAGGTAACTGCAGCATTGCTTCACGCTGCCTGCCTATATGGTAAACAGGAATGCCGTGCATTTTCTGGCCAACATCCACGTTCGTGGCTAACCTCATTTATTGACGGTGCTGCGTCTCGTGCAACTTAACAGGACTGCTGCGTGCGTTATCGGACGCTTGTCCACTGCCTCCTCGGCTGCAGTATCTCTTTATTGATGCAAGGGAACCCGCAGCAGTTGTACGCGTGCAGCGTCTTCTGCGGAGTTTGGTGAAGAAGCACCGCCGTTACCGGAAAGAGCTGGATGCATTTCGTTCCCTTTGTAAACAAACAGCAGCCGCAGCTGCAGCAGAAGGAATGGATTCGTCCTCTCTATCTGCCCAAGTTGCGCAGCTCGTTGCCTCCGTCAAGGGTGCAACTGACGAAGCAGAACCTACTGGGGAGGTATTTACAAAAGCTTCGCTCCTGAAAAGAAGGCCCCTTCGCGTCCTTATCGTTGGGGTCCCTAATGTGGGAAAGAGCAAAATTGCCAACAGTCTTGCGGGGAGGAAAGTAGCACGCAGTTACCGCTGGCCTGGCACCACACAGTCTGTTAACGTGAGACAGCCAAACACAGTTTACACCAATGTTGCTGCTTAGACCAATCCGGTGTTGCCTGTGCTGCACTTGGACGAGTGTTAGACTGGGGGAGTAAGCATGCACGAACTGACTGGGAGCGTGCGAGTCCCATTTGCTTTGCAGCTGCACAGACAGCCAGTTACCTTGGCTCGACTCGTGGACCGGTCGCGGCTTTTTGATGTGATAGACACTCCTGGGTTTATTCCCGTGCATCCTGGAAAAGGTAAGCGTAGAAAGCTGAATTCTGCACAACAGCAGCGACTGCAACAGCGCCTTGGCACAGGAGCGCGGCAGGGACAGCTGGATTTGGGTTTATTCTTCGATTTCACTACTCCGCGCCCATCTCCTGATGAGCTGGCTCTACTCGGTGCATTTCACATGCTGCCTCATAGTTGCCTCTTCACGATAGAAGAAGCAGCAGTGGCTTTGGGGGACGCCTTTTTCCGCATTAGGAAGTTATTGCCAGCAGCGAGTGATTTGGACAAAGTGCTGGGTCGCTACAAAATGGACACGGAGGCCTTCAGAGAGGACATGAATATGGGTGTGCAACTGCTGTTGACGGTGAGCGGGAAAGAGATAGATGATGCCTTATGAACGTTGTAGGTTCCCCAGCAATTGTAAGCGAAAGTACGTTTTGGGTGCACAGTAACTGAGGATAAAGAGATGGCGGAAACTATACTCCTATCCGTTTTGGCAATCCCCTCTGTTGTTGTTCTCTCAGCTGGCACAAAGGAGGCATCATTCCAACGAGGGAGCAGCTGCGCAGCGTCTTCTCAGCGACTTTACCCAGGGTTATTTGGGAAGGCACACATTCGAGCTCCCCCCAACGCGGTATCCCCTAACGGGGAAGACGCCAACGACGAGACGGATCGTTCGGGACGGCGATGCAGGGGGACGTAGTAGTGTCTCCCAAACTGACCGACCTGCATGCCAAAATGAACACTTGCTAGAGGCGACATCCGACGGAATTCTTCAAGGTTCAGCGAACGATGGCGAAACTAACAAGCAAGTTCGAGCCCGCTTCCACAGAATTGGCAGGGAAACAGCAGTAGGGCGGTGCTGGACAATGCGGCGCCACGGAGACAGGTTGTCGTTTGTGTTGGATACCCAAATTCGTCCAGAGATATCGCGCGCGAACGAAGAACGTGGACGTGGATATGCTTTTCAACCAGAGCACGGCCACCCCACCTCATCTCTAAGCAGCACTTGCAATCTTTGGAACCAGGCAGACGACCAACGAAACAAGGTTTCCGTGGGCACCTCGGATGATACAGGAGCAGAACAACAGCAACAGCAACTACTTGCTCCAGGATGGCTGGAAGGATGGTAGGACCATTGTCCATTGCAGTTCGTAGCAGTACTGTCCCTCAGTAATGGAGCGGCTATTCTTGTCTGGGCACTGTGGTATGAGCGGCCAGATGAGGCATCCGCGAGTTAGCATAGCTTAGGGTGACTGCAGAAGGGCAGGACGGATAAAACTAAAGCAGAATGAAAAATTGATCTTTTACGGTGCAACTGAGCTTGGAAGTTACAAAAAAAAATTTTGTAAAACGGGGGACATGGGCCAGAGAGGAGCGTGACTGTAAGTTTGCGCTCTTCTTGCGCGTGCCCATAGTGTTGGGCGGCTGTACGCATTGTAGAATTAAGGAACAAATATCAAGACGAAATTCCTTTCACATGCAGATGCAGCGTTCCCGTAGGTTCTAGTCTATGGTGATGCCAGTGCCGTCGGTGGCCGCATCCCTGTATGCCTCTCTGATTGCTTCTCGCACATGGCGCACGGCTGCCACGAGTTGCTTCAGTTCCGCTGCGGCCGCTTCATTTTCTCTCTCCAAATATCGTATTTCGCTCTCGACTTCTTCCTGCACCAAATATAAGACCGAAGGCTCTGTCTAGATTACCAGAGTCCATTTCATTCACAATGGCTCATTACTGAAATCTAGTGGTACGATATATTCGTCTCGAGAAGGAAGACTGACCTTGCTGTGAATGCAATACAACCCCACTAGCACTACTATTATTCTATGTTCTCGTGCACAGTGCAAGCAGCGCTGGGGGTGGATGGCCGTGGGTTACCTGCGATTGGATGCCTTCTGGAAGCTTCTCTGCCTCCTCTTCTATGACGTGCACAAGATTGCCGACCCCCTTGGAGCAGCTGAGAATAAACTCATTCAGCTGTCCCTCGGTCATTGTAGTCCTAACAGCTGGGTTGGAGGCCTCCGTTACTTCGGAAGGTTCGTCGACGTCAACCGCGCCTGAGATGGAGCGTGGCGGGGCAACTTCAGACAGATGCACAACCACATCCTGATATCCAACCAAGCACAGCACATGGAAAAGATGCGCAGAAGTGAAGGGCCTGCCGACGAGGGCGACGGTACGGCAAACGGCGGGATGGCGGGTGGTGGCTGACCGTGAAGTGTTTGAGCAAGTTCCCCAAAAGAATCTGCAATTTTGTTACAGGATCCCGAGCAGGGGGAGCCTGCAGCTGAGGAGGACCCCCAAGAGGTGGCTGCATCTGTCTTCAAAGCTGCAGAATTCTGCGGGCTCCCACACCGACGACCGAGTGAGCATAAAACTGTTCACGTGCAGCTGGTAGAGAGTTGCTTCGAAAATCGTTGTTGTTGCTCTTAAGTAAGGCACGGCAGCCTTTGAATTGAATGGGTAGCTTTCCGCTGGGAAAAATGGTATAACGGAACTTCACCGGCCGAACGGTCGATGAACAGACAGTTGTTGCGCCTTGCCGTCTTGCTCTTAGCAGCTCAACCCACTTATTATGCCAAGAGAAATACTGCTAAATATTTTTTAATCGAGATTTCTGCCTTACCTGGAATACTGTCTGTGACGTGCCTGCTCCTGGGGCTGCTTGTATGCATGCGATCCCACGTGAGGGTTAAGCGCTGCAAACCAAACTGGGGGCCACTCTAAATTTTCCCTTCCTTTAACACTATATCATTTTATTGGAATTACGGTAGTCCGTTTGACTGCAAACATTCTATACCGTGCTAGCACATCGAGCCACCCAACTAGTGTAGCTTGAAGACTTTCTTGACTCGCATTTAGCGTTACACATGGACCTGCCGTGTCTGCTTCTCACTCACAACATACACCGTCGATGCAGTCGTCTGGGGCATTTGTAGAGCTGCTTCTCCTATGAAGCGATATCTCCCGGATGCAACGGCCACACTCACCATGAGGAAGGAAATTAACTGGCGTGTGCACCGCGTAGGAGATCTGCGTCCCTCTCCCCCATTTAGAGGCGATGTTGGGCGATGCAGAGCACTATACGGGAGGGCTTCTACACATGCTTGCAGCAACACCAATTGTTCTTCAGTAACCACTGATCCAACAGGCGAAAACCGTAGTGCGTGGTTTGGAGCACCCCCAGACGCTTTGGGTGGGTACCTCAAGCCCATGAGTTCCTTTGGAAGCTACATTAACGATTTCGGCCGTACTGTGAGGTGCCGCAGCACGTACAACAGGAAGGCATCTGAATCTGACCCAGAGGCATGCAGTTGTGATCACTCGGACGGTTCAGCGAAACTGAAAGGTGGCGACCGTCAGTTCATATGGCGCACTGTGCGTTTCGTCTATGAATAGTCATGAAGCCCCTCACGTTGGACATTCGTGGAATTCATGTGCCCAGCTGCGTGGAAATGGAATGCTTTGCAAATGCGCTCAAGTGTTGGTTTTTAAGAATTAGTTTCGGCGGACAGCTTATTTGAAAGAGCGCATGGGATATGTTGCGCGTGTTCCCGCAGACCAAAGATCGCTTTATTGACTTCTGTTTTTCGCGGGAGGAGAAAGCACGGCTAAAATTGTGTCATGAGCGGGTAGGGCGTGCCACTTTACTCTGCTATTTTGAATATGCAGTGCGTAGTGGAGCAGCCCATGCCCATTCCCAACGAATTGTTCCCTGTTGCTGTCCAGATAATCGCGTCCTCTTGGTGTTCAGTGACAGCGGAAGAGGTGGCTGAGTGCCTGGTTACTCAAGGAGAGCGAGAAGGAGATTCTAAGCCTTCGTTGCTGCAGCAATTAGGTCACTTCTGGGGGTGAGGCAATTCCGTTCCCGCGATGCTGCCTACCTGTACCCTATCCGTCATTCGTTGCTATATTACGGTCGACCCTGTAAGGAAACCAGTCTGAAGAAAATGTAGTTAATTGCTATAGTTGGCTTCTGCAGTCTTGTCTTATCTCCATGGGGTCTGGAAGAGGGCGGCCGGCGGCTTTTCCGCACAGTTATTCCGTGTTACGAGAACACCGTGCTAACTGCAAACTGTGAGCCAACAATTTCCCGCTTCAGACCGCGCTCGTGTTCTTCACTGCCCAATGCTGCCAGTGGTGTGACGTCAGCATCGCATGTGACAGCAGCAGATTAAGTGCTGTTCATAAGCTGTTCGGTGCAGATTTTGGGATAGGCGAAGCGGATTTCAATAGCCGAATCTACTTCTTACTTATGCACGTATGGTCTCTTCATTGTGCTCTCCAGAAAGCTGTGAGGAGATAGACCCCTTTGCATTGGTTGCAACCACTTGCTCACATAAGTAGCATGATATTTTATCGTGATCTCCAGCAGTAGCTCAGAAAGCCATTTGTGGGGAGGCTATGGATACACTGGAAACTGGTGCTCATTTTGCATCTTCAGGGTTTGGAAACACTGAAGATTAAGTTGTGGGATGCCTTTTGGGACTTTTTGACAAACATCCTCATTCAAGAAGGGGCAAGTCACACGCAGGATGCGCCTCCGAATGACGGTATTTCGCATGACAACATGCAGGTGTAATGCAGAATATTATATTTGGGCTGATGCATGGGCGCCTGCGCTTTTTAGCATACTATGGCTTGATTAAATTCAGCACGTAATCATAATTAGTCCACTATAGGCGAACTCGAAGTAGGTGTAAACGCACTTGCACTCGAATATTACACACGCGCACTTTCCATTCTCTCGTGGCCGTTGTCCTGCTTCGCGTAACTGCTTCCCCGATAATGTATCTGTTGATCACCTCTTTAGGTGAGCGAGTTCAGAATCCCAGCTGTTCTTCGGGAGCAGCAGTTCACCTCCTTGGGATTTTGCGTTTCTCTGGATGAGGCATTCGAAGATGAAAGTGCCTTCCCCGCAGGGCAGTTGGCCCATCGGCTTTGGGTGTACGTGCAGGTTTACTACAGTGAATGATACCCCCTTGCTCCTTTCTTTGCTAGTTTAGTGTCAAAATGTTCGAACTGGGAAGGAGGCTGTTAATATGCGCCTGCCTGCGTACTCAGGACGGTTTTTGACGCTAAGGAAAAGAGGCGAGATTGCCCAGAGCTAATGGCACTCACCACCTACTCCTTGAGGGCGGTAAGCTGCCCTTGTCGCTTTGCTATCTCTGTGCAATAGATGCGCCCGCAGCAGACAGGGTGATACATGCGCTACAGCAAAACTTGAACACGCGGGAATCACCCAAGTTGATGATGGATGAGCAATGGCGTCATCTACATACCCATGGCACATATGATGCATAATTGTGCTTGTAGAGGGATTTTGCACTACAGCTGCCTCGAGAAGCACTGGAACTGGGAGCATTCCGTTGGCCGGCCTGGCCCCCCGTAAACTCTTCCTCAACTAACCGAGCGAACAATGCTTAGGAAGGACACGTGTGAAGATGAAGAAGTATGAATGGCTAACACTAAGCTCCCGGCCACTGTTTTGACATGAGTTTCCGTCTCTGAAAGCTTAGGAAATGCGTTTTTGTAGAAACGTGCACGCGGGCGCCCTGCGGTGGAGAGCTTTGGTACACCACATTGCAACTAGAAGCAACGCGCTTCGTTGGGCCAATACTCTTCTGCGGTGGGGAGCAGGTGGCACAACACGGCAGAAGACAGTTCCGTCCTTTGCAGTCACACCGGCTGGAGGAAGTGCAAATATGTTATACGGTTTGGGTTTTCGGGAGCAGGACTAACGAATCAAGCATGCGAGGCTTTAATCGTCTCCAAGCTGTACATGCATCTGGAGGCAGCTTTCCGCAAGCTGGCGTTGACAAAATTGCATGCATGGTCGAGCAATGATGGATTAAGCCTCATCAGCTCAGGAAGTTCCCGTGTGGCTACACAGGCGATTCCAAGGATGAACGCCCGTGGCCCCTTTAACCAAAAAAGGAGTTTCCGCACTTTCTTTTTAAACGAATTACCATAAGATCCATATAAGGAGGCATATTTTTACTCCATGCCTGCCAACAGGAACCGAACTCTGCCGAGCAAAAAGTACGTTACGCTGGAAGGCTCCACGGCCGCGGCGTAGGTGATGCGGACGGCAGGCTGGGGAGCTGGGCTTGAAGAACCTGCTCTTCGATTTCTTCTGCAGATTTATATTCGAAAGTGGTCCCTCCAGCTTGCAGAACACGGTAGAAGCTCCATAGGACCTGCAGGTTGGCATGAGACACGAGCAGAAGTGTCCCCAGCAGGGCAATGCGAGCGCATAGGACGACGCTCAGTGGTAGGTCAACAATTAGGAGGCGAGCTGCAGGCATTCGTCCCAGGCCTCCATGCTGCCGCCAGCCAGCTGTAGCGATTGTATAGGTTGATCTGTCATGAGCATCTTGCTGGACTCTCCAGTAGAGGTAAATGGTGAGGCCGAGCTGCAGGGCCCATATGATGTTCAGAGCGATTTGAGTGTACACTGCCACAAAAGCAGGGAAAGCATTTGCCTTTCCTATTGCAGAGAGTAGTAGGCTTGCGGTGATGATCCCTACCACCCCACCGGCTGTGTATGCTGCACCGGAAACATTGGGATCGAAAAGGACATAGGTGGAAAATGCCAGTAGGAAGACCGCCCATATCGTCACAGATGTCCCCAGAGAGCAACAGCAAAATTGCTTGTACGTAGCTGATGCTTTGGCCTTCTTAGGGAGCAGAGGCTGACTCTCCTTTCCGGAGGCCTCGCTGGCCTTCAAAATGGGAGAGTGAGCCTCCCGATCGGCCATTGCGCCTATGGGCCTGGGCCGAAAGCTTCTTCAAGAGCAGCAATTCGTGTAGTTGCTGAGACGGAAGGGTATCTTCGACGAGGTGTAGAAGTGTCAGGCAGCACTGGAGTCATCGGCAACGAACCGGCGAGCTGCCCTGCTGGGCCAATCGGTCTAGGAAGACCAGGTTTCCCTGGAAGCGTCGTACAGTAGCCTTTGAAAGGTAAGTTTCTCTACTAATTTAGGAGAATTGGACCTCGATATTTGAAGCAGCCTCATGGAATTCAAGACAGCTACCTCCCGGCAAACAAGCGAGACCGTCGCCAACTCTGGCGGGCACGACATCTCGCCCAACCGTGGGCTTCGTTGTTTAAGCTGAACTGCTGAGAAATACAGTTGTCATTGAACAATTACTCATTGATGCGGAAAATGGAAATGCTGTTTCTAGCACAGTAGTTTATCCACGGATTTCGGGCGGAAACCTCGTGGGCGGGAATGGACCGCGGCCTCCTCTAGCCGCGGTCCATTTGCACCGTGCAGAAGTGCTAGCAGTTGACGCCGGTAAGAGAGCTAACACACCATCCGAAAGCTCTTATTTAATTTGTTTAAGCTTTGATCCCGTATGGGAAGGGCCTGGCGTAATGCTTGCAGGAGCCACCGTTAACACGGCTACATTCTCTGACGCCACTGGTGATGGCAATGTAGCCCCACAGGGCTGCACTGGCCTAGACATAGAGTAGCGCCTTGGACATTTCACTTGCTGGAGTTGACAAGCTCTGTAGAGCTTCTCTGTGCATCCATATCTCACCTTTTACTGCCAGGAAGTGTCTGTAACTTTCCCTCTGCTTGAAGGCTTCAATCTGCATAGCAATCAAAGTTGCAAGGCAATATGAATACGACGAAGCAACCAAGTACTTAGAGGTTTAGTTACTGCAGTCCTTGTGGGCATTTTTGAGGGCATTGAAGAAATACCTCATACTGGGTAACGTTTGTTGCAATAGTAACATTTTGAGCAATGATTGTGCCACTTTTGTAGGGGGTTTGACCCCCCCAAAAAAAAAATCTCTGCCTGCAACTAACTCCCACATCGATGCTTAGGGCCAAAGCCCTTTGCAAACGGTCACACCAACACTTAAAAATTGTGCGGTGCTCAATGAGACAAACAAATAGGCAGCAACCTCTGAGTTCCCACTCAAGAGCAGCAAACGATTAATGCGCTATCCCATGGGGTAGACCACTAAAAATATAATAGACTGCAGAAACCGAGCCATAGTGGAGTGCAGATAAATCTGAGCAAGATGGCCCGGACCTTTTGTCTGCGTTAGCGGGAAGGCGATTTGCCCTTTTGGTTTGTTTTCCCTTCCCCATATACTTAAAATGATTAGCGACGGCAGAAACACAGGCAGCAGCATAGCAGAAGGGCGCAGGCCAGAGCAATCCCAGTGAGGATGAGGTACAGAGCCCATTGTGGGAAGGCGCTTCGCCCTCGACCATACGCTGCAGCTGCAAAAGTCTGAGGCACCATGTGCGCGTCTTCGGTAAAACCAGCAGGAGTTGCTGCGAAGGCAGGTGCTGAAGATGATTGATACGGCGGTAGCATTTGCTGCCTTGATAGCTGCTGCATTTGTTCTTGCTGCTGCGCCTCAACATCAAAAGTAGTCTCCTGCTTTACAGCACTGCTGATGTCGTAGTGTGTTGGTTTCTTGATAGCCTTGCACAAAATCTGCAAAAAAGGTTTCAAAGAGGAACCACGAAAATCCTCGATGAACGGCAAAATAAGATGTGCTGTTCCCATTCGCTTAGCATACTTGACCGGAAGCATCTTTAATTACATTTTGCAGAAAGTAAGTGTAGCTTTCCATCATCAACTCCTCACCTGAACTGCAGATTTTTTAGCAGGGGTTTTGCAGGGCTTTGTCCTTGTCGCGACAGGAACAAGTCTCCACTCCGGTAGCGCTGCAGCAACCGGTATCCATCAAAAAGGTCACGACAATAGCCAACAATTCGTGGAAAGATATCTATACTCCAGCGAACAACAAATACAACCTAATCACGAGTGAGAATAGCTGTCTGAATGATCGAAGTGCACCTCATTGTAGTGTGAGATCACAAGTAGCTAAAATTGCAGGCATCCCATACGATTTTAAGAACTCACCATCCTCAGCGAGAAACATTGCTCCTTCGCAGACACGGCCGCATCGACTCCAGCACGCGCTAAGATAGAAGACAGCAAACAGCCAAACATTCACAGCAAACGGCGAAGCATTCATCCCCAGCAATAGAAAAAAGGACTTACCAATTGAGGTTACGGTAGTACGCGATTCTATAGGGCTGCCCTGGGAACGAGTTGTTTGTGAACAAAGAGTTCAAAAACGCTCACGCCTCTTCACCACCTTCATCTGGATGAAGTCCTCTGAACCCCACGTCGGAGCAAAATGCAAATTCAGCGTGCCTTTCTTCTTCATGCCAGGAACTCCTACGCTGCTCCGACGTGGTCGGTGCTTCGTCTTCCTCCTCGGCTTTCCCTCCAAATAATTTCTTGAAGATTTCCACGAAACCATACTCACTGGAAAGTATGTGGTCAGCAGGTGGAGTAGCCTCTACACCTGCATCGAATTCTCCTGAGAAGTAAGACGCTTGATCAGGAGCCAGTATAGGGTCTTGTTTATTGGACCGGCGGAATGCCCTCTGATCTGAATATGAAAATGCTGGTAGCGAAGCGACTATAATAAGGAGGACTTGAGTCCGCCATGACAGCTGACGACACGAAACACTTCTATGATGCACCTTCATTTTATATGACGTAGTAGAGGATTCGTCGACGGAGGGTTTCAACGGGGAACGCTACTGGCAGTAGAGACCCCTCCCGCCCTTTTGCAGAGACACAGCGCCGAAGCCTCCATTGGCAGGGGGACTCTTAGCCCCCAGACCTCGGGAAATTATTTGTAAAAGCCTTTGGAGCACTTCCAGAGCGCTGGTGTTCGGCGGACGGCAACGGTTGGCGAGTAACACGAACAACCATTAACACAGGCCTCTTAGAAATGTAAATTGTTGAGCTACTCAAAAAGGCGTTATGCAGCAGCTTCGAAAAAGTCCTTCAGGTAGAAGGCGGGGAAAATCCACCGGCTCCAACTGAAGCACGACTTTGGAGCTTACCCACATACAACTTCCGGGCTTTGACATTCCGAAGGTTAAGTGAGCCACCATACAACTTCTCACAGTGTCAAAATTAAAAAAAGGCGATTACGTCACTTTGAAAAACTGCAAGGCAAAGTCTATGCTGCAGGGAAGGAGACTGCGGTGCGGTCGGCGCTCAGTGCAGCCGGCGATGGGGGGGATTGCTGAAGCCAATTTTGCTCACTCGTTTCACGACAAGAATAGACATGTAGTTCGATTACATTTAAAAAGGGACTTATTTTTATACTTCATTTGCGTAAGACGTGCAGGCCTGTTGGACGAAGCCATGCGGTCCCCTGAGTCTTCGCCGTAGTGGTCCAACGCCCTGATTGCCTTGAAACTGCAGACTTACTGGCCTTTATACGCAGACATACTGACACCCTCTACTACCTCCCTTTATATGTAGACATACTGACACTCGCTATTAAGGGATGCACCTTTCATGACGATGACACGCCCATCCTCTCCGCCGCCGACCACCCTCTGTTGACTCGACCGATGCCGTTCGTAACTGAATGAGGTGCACGATGGACTCGAAGAGAGGGGCAGCGAACTTCGGTTTTGCAACGAATGGATGACCTCTAACGTGCGCCTTAGCAGCAATACGCAGGTTTCGGAAGGTCTCATTGTTTCCAAGCAGCAGTCTGACTGCCGAGTATGTAAGTTCAGTTAATGAGAAACTTGGCAACCGCTACGCCTGTGCCCAATGTTTCGGCAGTGACGAAAAAACTAATACATCACCATTATAGCTGTCCGCGACATTCGATCCGAAACTACCCCCTGGAGTAGGAGAGTTCGTTTGGCTTCATCGGGAAGTGGAGAACACTTAATACATGCATTGCTAAGTTTCTACAGGGACAGTAAGAGGCATCCTGTTTCGCATATGTTCTGTATATCTGCAGAACAAGTTGAAGGTGTGAATAAAATCCACTGCTGCAGTTTTCTCAAGTTTTAACTAAAAAATTGCACCTCTATGTATGCTGGTATACATACATAAACGCCAATTCTCACCGAATGGAGGTCATCTAAAAGGCACTGCTTACTGGATAAGGCGCACAAGTGCATCGTCGAACACACGCCTGTAAAGGCCCGCATCCATTTTAACACCAAGCTCCTGTATTTTCTGCACAAGAGGAGTTTGCAGCATGTCTGCCTTGCTACGCGACTCCTCACTTTCCCACACCCGTAATTCAACATAGTCCACCGACTGCTGCTCTCGCTTGGCACCTTCAGATTCATTTGAAAATTGAATACCCGCGCTAACTCCCTTGCGGCCAACACGATGACGCTGTTGTTTTGCATCTACCATATTACTCTGTTCTGCATTCTCGACCACCTCATCCACTAGTGCTCTGCGGAACATCTGAGTGTAAGTATATCCCGGTTGTCTCTGAAGCAGCCTTGCTGCTTCTTCCCACAGGTTTTCAAAAGCACGTTTCCGCTGGCGATCAGTCCGCTCCCGATTTGATGGGCGGCTATCTTGTTGAGGCTGTGACAGTGCAGCTGGTAGGTCATAGAATGTCAGACGAACAGCCGAGCAGTCTGCATTTGCCGCGTCTCTCCCCCTCCTCTCATAAGACCCCCATATACTCCCCCCCAAAATGCCGACGCAAAAGAAGCCTAAGTTCCTGTGGTAGAGGCTGATCGACCTGTAGCACTCGATGAAGGAACGCAGCCGTTGTTGTATCGGATAGGCGAAGCCCTCTAGCCCCATTATCAGCGTCCTTACACACACTCAGCATGAGAGCATGGCACCGCGTATGTTGCGGATGTTTAAACCTGATCCCAAAGAACAACAGGCACCCAGCTTTACTCCCGAAAAATACAACTGTCTATACCACTGTCAAGCCCTCTGCTCCCGCCCCTGTGGCTTCCCACAGCAAAGCGCCTCGTGAGACTAGACCCTAGATATTGGATGCGTCCATGGAAAGCGTTGAAATTGTAATCCATGTCATTCCGTGGTATGGGGCAGCGGATGCGGGTGAACGCATTACTTCAGGGCCCTCGTTCCTGGCAGGAGAAGGGCTGGCACCTGCATGCATGGAGGAAGCCTCATCTACTTTGTTAAACATTTTAAAATCTTCTTCTAGAAATGAATCATCTGAATACAGTCCGTATCATTAAGCTTGGTTAGGCGACCCGCGGAAGCTAACATGGTGGCCCTTGGTGTTAACACCGCACCTGCAGTGAACAGCGTGCCCAGGTGTTACTACTACGTATGCCTCTTATGTGTAGTTCAACCACGTACACACTCAGCACCTATAAGCTAGACTCAGCCAATCTCTGCGAATACCACTTGAATAACCAAATAGTCACTCTTAAAACATATTCGAGTCCATATTATCCAGGAAGAAACCCAGTATAGTAGAACTGACCGGCTCCCCTCCCGGAGGGGGTCTATGCCAAGGCAACTGCGTTATCCTCAAGGTCAGTCTTGGGTCTCGTGTAGGCGGACATGCTCTCCTAACTCATTTGACCTCTCTTCTATCTAAAGAGTTCCAATATATAAGTGTATTTATGTTTGTCATTGTTACCTTTCGTGAAACTAAACATTTAAGGTTACCAGCTGCGCTCTATTGTAGTGCCCGTGCACTACAACTCCACCCGAACAGAAACAGCCTCCCAGTTTGTTTATCTCTCTTCTCCTCAAACCGCCATTTTTCCAGTTGTCGCTATCGGGATGTTCCATGGTTCTGATGTAGAGGGCCTACCTGCTGTAGTGTCGTGCTACGTTTTGTGCTTACTTTCACCTGAAACTCCCTTTACTATAGAGCATTTCTTTTTACTCTGAGCGTCCCATTATAAGTGTCTCCCTTCTAGTAGCTTTTACTAGTACGCCTAATGTTTAGTTTCCCTAATCCGTTGCCTGTATGTATTTGTGTACAGCTACTTAGTACGCATGCAAATAGTGTGGTATCATACAACTGCGCGAGTATCGGTGTGATCGTACGCTAAAATACTAACTACGTGAATGACACCCTAACGAAGAACTGGTGCTCTAGCGCTCCTGCCCCCCTTCACAACACGAAATACTACCAACACGCCAGACAGCGCGTAGGCACGAATCGAAACGGGCAACCTCTGCTACTGCGGTATGATGAGCTTGGTTAGTGGTCTCAAGGGCTGGCGGGAGACAAAATCCAGTCCATGTGTAGCACAATCCGCTTCGCTTCTCAGGGATGCGACGTACCCTCACCATCTTTCCTGCGTCTGGAGAAGCCATATATATATATATATATATATATATATATA